GAGGACAAGAGGAAGAGAGCGAACGGAGGGGGGGGGGGGGGGAAGCGTCATTTATCACCTTTGGAGAAATCCAGCCTCTTCCTGTCGGCTTGGCCAATTAGAGGGTTGGAATTCACAGGCGGTACTTCGGTTTTTATTGCTCTTTGTCTCAGAGAGAGACATTTGAAACCCTAATTTCGTCGGGTGTTTAAGAGCAGAATCTTCACAATTATTATAGTCCCATGTGTCACAAAGTTTTAGCAAGATGTGATATAAATGGCTAAATGGGAAACGAAGATTGGAGCTCAGAGAATCCAAACTTGCCTCACATGGAGTTGGTTACTCACAGTTTGCAAAGTTTGAAACCTTATCCCATTAGAGTTTCCCAACAACATAGATCAAACACATAAGACAAATCGTAAGATGAGATTGGATACATTGTTCGTACAATTCTCAAGGGGATATATAATAGAATATATCCATGAATGCAGAATTCATTTCTCCTTCTTAGTTAAATCCAGAGAGAGTGAGACACAACAATTCTGGGGATCGACAGTTATAGGTAAAATGCATAATGATAAAGTCACAGTTATTCCAATGTAACCCGGACAACAAACACATATAAAACACATTGAATATATCGGGTTAAATGTCTTTTAAAAAGAGAAGTTTCTTTCTCTTGAGCATCAAATTCCAAGTCAGTCATAAAAATGTCTGGTAACTGGACACCACGCTCTGTCCTGAGCGGGCTTCACTTGTGGGGGATGTGTGTGTGTGTGTAAATTTACATTCCAGGCTTTTTGGGTCTTTAGCAGGATGTATTTAGTTATTCAGATTCACCCTTTTAGCCCAGTCCTTACACTCATGTGATCGAGCACCGATTTGCCTATGATTTCAGGCAGTTGTCGGCGAGTCAAAATCGGGCATGAGCTCGACATTATGCAATATAAGAGTGTCAAACCTGAGAAGGGAGTCCAGGAGATTCCCACAGCATTCCTGGACACATAATTTACATAGTTGTAATTTATAGACAGAGATTATGCTAATCGTGAACGAGTGTGCGTGCACGCCGGATTTACGAAGGATTGGAATTCATTAACATACACATTTAACTATCAAATCTAATGTCTACGAAGCATTTGCGAATCCAAGAGTTTTCAGGAAGGTCCATTTTACACGCAAATTACTCAAATATATATACGCAAATATATTTACAAAAGTTTCATGAATGAGGCCCAATGCACGTGAATGTTGAACAGTTTTGAATGTGGTGTCCATGAGCAAGACACCTAACTCCAGCTGTGTGTGTGTGTGTGTGACACCTAACCCCAGATGCTCCCGACGAGCTGGATGGCGCCTTGCATGGCTGACACCGCCGTCGGTGTATGAGTGAGTGAATGTGAAAGCGCTATATAAATGCAGTCCATTTACCATTTATAAACAAACAAACAAACATAAAAACACATTCCAAAAAGCATTACCCTAAGCAAAGCATATTAATACAAATACAGAATGACTTTAGATATACACAAATGCAGCGAAACACGGAAGTAAAGCAGCGCCACCGTTACTGCGTGCCTTGCTGCTAAGGAAGTAGCGGAAGTAGCGTGTTGGTCCCGTAGGCGGCTGTAGCAGATGTTAGCTGTACGACATGTTATTTTTATGTAGTTTCTTTAGTACGTATGCGGTCTAGTGATGCCGGTGTGGCGAAGCAGGGAACAGGCGATACAGAGGAGGTTATAGTCTAGGTGGAACCTGCCCCAAAAACACCGACTACGCCACCCGGGAATTTCACCCAGAGAATGATTTTCTTTACTTCCTAATTGCAATATTACTTATATGCTTACGGACACACAGGTAGGTATACAATTCAGCCAGAGACGAGGTTCAATTTTTGGTAACGCTTTAGATCACAGCCCGGAAATTACTGCGAAATTAAAGCGATTTTACAGTGTAACCTTCAGTAATTATAGTGTACCTATTACAATAAGTATAAGGGAACAATATTTTAAGTTTGGGGAATAAAGGGGTAACAACCAGGAGAATTAAAAAAAAAATTATTCTGCAAGTATTATAGAACTAAGGGGTTCTTATTCTACTATTATGATATAACAATCTTACATTTGGGAGCAATTTAGCAAGAACATACACTGCGTACCTTTACATACTGTACATACTGTATAGGCTTTTTAAAAATTACAGGGTACATATCTATGCATTTATAAAGTAATCTTTTTAACAAAAGTGCACTGAAAACGAAAGCTATTGCAACGTTTGCTTAAATATTGGGGAAAGATACTCTTGTTTCATGTAGTGGTGCTTGTTACGCTCTTGTTCCGTGTAGTTACAGGGTTAGTACAATACAAATGCATACACACAGTCTTATATCACTGACTCGGAAACCTTTATTTATTATACAAGCACTACTTACCCTGTAACCACATGAAACCAGATATATTATTCCCAGTATATTTTTAAAAAAATGCAATAATCTTAGCTTTTCTTGCCTTGAAACATGTTAGCCCAAACATAAACATCTGGGCCCGTATTCATAAGGAATCTTAATGCAAAAAGTAGCATAACTCATGTCTTACTTTGAACACTGAAAAGACGGTAACCATGTTTTTAAAAATAGATGCAAACTTAGGGAATGTCCTGAGGTCTTTGTAAATGGGCATACAATTAAAAATGTGAACAAATTCAAATATTTACAAACAGTCGCTCCTAGTGACAAAATTCTAAGAAAATTCTTAGAAATGTGGGCGTTTAATCCTAAAATTAAAGAAAAAATCCTAGTAAAGAAAAAAGTAATTCAGAGAGTATCTTAACCCTTAAAAGAGGTCTTAAGGTCTCTGCGTCAGGAGCACGGATGAGGACTTTTAAACCGCATTAACCCGATCGCGTGTTTAGCGTTCATGTAAACACTACATTCAGAACAACTAAAGTTGTGCATGTAAACGTAGCCACTGTAGGCGATACTCCAGGAAACACTGATCTAGAGTTTCATGACTGAACTCCATATATATATATTTACCTGTGTGTATTTGTGTGTAAGTGTGTAAGTGAGTATATTTAATGTGACTGTGCTTCGGCCATGTAAAGCCGTTCTTTAACCCTGTCAGTAAAGCTGTTTGACTCTGATGAGTCTGAGGTGAGTCTGTATCTCGTCCTGATCTCTCTTCGGTCTCGTCGTGAGCTCACAGTCTACAGCAGCTTTTGCATTCAGAGGGTGTTTTATATGATCAGCACATGCTTCACTCTGCATGTGTTTATAGCTCTATGAACTGAACATGACATGATCAAGAGCTCTTCTTCATCAACCAACAAACATGACTTTCAGCATCATCTTCCTCTTGACTCTGCCAGTGTTTAGTCCAGGTTTGAACAATGATTTATGATTGTATTTTCAAACACTAATAACACTATGGGCCCTATCTTACACTCGGTGCAAATGACTTTGTACACTGACGCATGTATCATTCCTATTTTGCACCCGCACAAAGCGGGTTTTTCCCTCCACAGACACACGTCGGTTAACTAAGAAATACACTTGCGCTCCCCGGGGCGGTTCAGCGCAAAGAGGAGGCGTGTTCCGGCGCAAACTTTCCCTCATGCTATTTTGCTGTTCTATAAAACAATTGCGCCACTGACCAGAAAAAAACTAGTCTAGGGCCCTATCTTGCACTCGGCGCAAATGACTTTTTACACTGACGCATGTATCATTCCTATTTTGCACCCGCGCAAAGCGGGTTTTTCCCTCCACAGACGCACGTCGGTTAACTAAGAAATACACTTGCGCTCCCCGGGGCGGTTCAGCGCAAAGAGGTGGCGTGTTCCGGCGCAAACTTTCCCTCATGCTATTTTGCTGTTCTATAAAACAATTGCGCCACTGACCAGAAAAAAACTAGTCTAAAGTCAGTGGCGCGTTGCGCGTTGTTCATTATGCTATTTTAAGGGCGCATGCTTGGCCATAATCAATGTAGCGTGTGCAGAACGCGCATACACGTTGATTCTCTCATCTAAGCAGCAGTTTTCATTTTTGCAAATCATACATTATTACGATAGATAGATAGATAGATAGATAGATAGATAGATAGAAAGACAATTTATTATAAAAGCATGTAGCTTACACATTTACCCAAATTATCATACGCCTGTTTAACAGAAGTTAATTTGGGTGGGTTTCTCCATCCCCAATGTCACTTCTCTGACGAGAACGCTGCTCTCCTCGGCTGTGAACCGTTCCTGGCGCGCGCCTGGCAAATCCGCAGTTATAATAGGAATCCGCTTTAGAACAAGCGCACCTGCTCTTAAAGGGAATGTGAGATGACGCTCTGATTGGTTTATTTCACGTTACGCCCAAACCACACCTATGAATAATGAAGCTACTTCAGACAGACCCCTTTTAGATTTGCGCCAGGCGCAAGAGGCAATTATCCCGCCGGGAAAATAGCAACAGCGCCGGGATCCGCCCACAAAGTTACTTGCGCTTTACGCTTTGACACTTGCGTTTCAGATCGTTAAAATAGGGCCCTATATCATTAAAATCAACACCAATCTTGTGTTTATGAAGAGAATGAGTCAGTGTTTTAATATGATCATCATGTTTTAGGTGTAATATATGATCCCTGTCAATCAAACTGAACACACTGCAATCAGTCACTTAAATTATTTGTATTATATTTTTATTTTTTAAATACCATCAGCTTCTTTTGCAGAAGTGAAACTGTTGTGTTCCAGTCCAGATCATGTAACCAATCAGAGAGTGAGACTGAAAAGCCCATTTGCATTGTCAGGGTGGAGTGATTGTGATCTCTCAGAATAGAGCAGCTCTGTCTCCAGAGACCATGTTCAAACCCCAAGAGCTTTATTTGACATTTACTGCGACATCAACCTTCTGAAAAGCTCCTGCATCTTCATCTGTTAGTTGAATGATGTTGTCAGACACAAAGTGAAATTGTTGAGAAGCTTTATTGAATGTTGCAGCAAACACAGCAGATTGAAAGATCACACACACACACACACACACACACTCGTTCAGTATGGAGTTGTAAAGCACTACAGCTGCAGCACTAGACTCATGTGAATCCTGCCTGACACAGGACACTCAGATACGGCTCATCTTCAGGAGAGAAACATCAGCACTCAGAGCTCTTGTGGAACGAGACCTCATGAGGAGCTCCATCATGTGTTACTCTGCAGACGTACAGCTCTCCCTCTTCCCAGCGTGCTTTGCTGAGGGTCAGGACGCTACTGCGGCTGTAGCGGCCGTCCTGCTGGCTCTCTGCGCTGGTCAGAACCCCCTCGGTGACCTCTGACCCGTCCAGTGTCCAGCTCACCAGCGCCCCCTGTGGAGAGTAAGAGCTGAGCAGGCAGAGCAGTGCGGCTGAGTCTCCAGAGATCTGCAGAGAAGAGGGCGGCAGCAGAGACACTGAGGGCTTCACTGTGGGACCAGCTGCAGGAGACAAACACAACACATTCACAAACACACACACAACACACTGCACTGCACATTCACAGCATTTCAACAGGACTGAAGCAGCAGACATGAGGAATGCAGGACAAATCTCCAGCATCTGATCCTTCATGCCATTCAGCTTCACTACAGTCAAAATATATTTATATATATATACAATATACAAACTACACAATCACTATATACATTTATATCAAACCTCAGAAATCAAACTCAACATTATAATACACTGACTGCTTTAATTACAGCAGTTTTTTTTTACTCAGAACATAAAGATCTTAAATTTCGAGATATTCAACTGAAAATGTAACTCAGTTTCAAACAGAATTAAAACACAATTGATTCATACAGAAATGGTTTTTGTATTATATTGTATAGATTTATATCAAACCTCATGAATGCATTTAACCATAGACATTGTTTTAATTCCAATAGTTTTATGTCCCACAATATATAGATATTTAACTCAATTTGAAAGTGTGACTAAAGCGGAGACCAAAAGAAAATTATAGCAGTGATAGAAAAACATTTAAAATAACAATAAAATCAACATTTCTAAACATACACATATTTTCTATAAATCATGATTGTATTATATATACAATATACAAACTACACAACCTCTATATACATTTAAATCAAACCTCAGAAATCAAACTACACATTGCAATTGTTACGACCCTTGGCTCAAGGGAAGCAACAAAAACAAGGGACACACGTAAACCAAATTGTAAGCTCAAAAGTAATGTTTATTTAACTACAAAAGTAAGACAAAACTAAATAATAAAATGAAAACATTTAAAGAAAATAGAAGTGTTTCTGTATTCATCAGCAAGATCAGTGTGTAAAGCAAGATGCATGGTCGAAAGTGTAATGCAATGTTGAAGTTGAAATGTAAATGCAAAAAGTAACAAAATACAACGCAAGCAAAAGGCAAAGTCCAAAAGCAAAGTCCAAAACCAAAGTTCCCTCTCCCTTGGCTCAGTTGGTGATCTCTTAAGAAGCGTCTAAGGCACGGTCACAGGTGTTTCCAGTTGACTGCCAATTGAGGCAATTAGTGGGCTCCGGTACCAAACTGCAATTCTCAAAAGCAGCAGCAGAGGTCGTCACACCCCTCCCCATAAGACAGGGACTCCCACAAAGATCCCTGTAACAAAACAAACAAATCTCAATAAACAGGCAAAGTATACACCCAAGTACAGGGCCGAAGACAGCTCCCAAAAACGCCAAAGAGAATAAATTCAAATCCAATAGATTAGAGTGCATCAGGAGCGCGTGACAGCGCATCAGCTACCACATTTTCCGATCCTCGTATATGTCGAATATCCAGACAGAAGGATTGCAAAAATAAGGATCACCGAACCAACCTCTGATTCGGACACTGCAAAGAGTTGAGAAAGGTTAATGGATTATGATCCGTGTAGATCACAATAGGTGCACAGGAATTAAGATAAACAGAAAAGTGCTGCAAGGCCCAAATAAGGGCTAACGCTTCCTTTTCGACCACAGAATAATTACGTTGGTATGTGTTAAACTTTCTCGAAAAGAAACTAACTGGATGGTCTACTCCATCCACATCAGATTGCTGAAGGACAGCTCCAGCTCCAACATTACTGGCATCGACGTGCAACGTGAAAGGTTTGTCAAAGCACGGAGCCATAAGCACAGGCGCTGAACACAGCAAGGATTTCACGTTCTCAAAAGCCAATTCGCAACTGTAAGACCATAAAAACTTCGTCTTACCCTTTAACAAGTCGGTCAACGGTGCCACCACCGTAGAGAAATTTCGACAAAAAGATCGATAATATCCTACCAACCCTAAAAACCTCATAAGCTCTTTCTTTGTCGTTGGGGAAGGAAAATTCTGAATGGCTTGCACTTTAGCCTGTATCGGACGCACTTCGCCGTTCCCTACCACCTTCCCGAGATACGTCACGGTCGCCTTCGCAAACTCACATTTGGCCAAGTTCACTGTAAGTCGAGCATCAGACAAACGTCTCAACACCGAACGCAACCGTTTTAAATGAGACTCCCAACTGTCACTAAAAACGACTAAATCGTCCAAATAGACGGCACAACCCTCAAGGCCACAAATTACTCGGTTCATGAGGCGTTGAAAAGTCGCCGAAGCATTTCGCAGGCCAAAACTCATGACCCGGTAAGAATGTAATCCTGACGGAGTGACAAAAGATGAAATTTCTTGTGCTCTCTTGGTTAAAGGCACCTGCCAATAGCCCTTCAGCAAGTCAAACTTGCTGACGAACTTGGCTGAGCCAACCTGGTCCACACAGTCCTCGACGCGGGGCAAAGGAAAACAGTCCGGTTTTGTTAATGCATTAACTTTACGGAAATCCGTACAAAATCTTACTGTACCATCTGACTTTCCAACTAAAATACACGGGGAAGCCCATTCAGAAAAAGAAGGTACTGCAATATCGTGATCCTGCATATACTTAATTTCCCTCTCCATCAATTCCCGTTTTTCAGGTGCAACACGATAAAAACGCTGTTTAATAGGTTTTGCATCCCCAACATCGATATCATGTTCAACCCAATCTGTACGCGATGGCACATCATCAAATAATTCGGGAAAACTATGTAATAAGTCACATAACTCCTGGCATCTTACAGGAGATAAATGACGGAGAGTAAACTCCAAGTTGTGCAAGGACTCTGAATTATTCAAACGGCCGCGAAAAACACAATCATCGGGCGAAATGGTCTCCTCTTCCTCACCCACCAAACTCATATTACCCCCACCGATAGAAACTGCCGAAAGTGCTGGATGCAAAAATGTCAAATTTTCTACAGGTTTGGTTTCTTTTTCATAATACGGTTTTAATAGATTTACATGGCACCGTTTAACTGACTTTTTCCGTGATGGCATTGAGACATCATAATTTTCATCAGTCAACTTTCGTTGTACAACAAATGGGCCATCGAATTTTGCTTCAAAAGGAGAAGATACAATAGGCCGTAAGACAAGAACTTGATCGCCTGGTACAAACACTCGATGTTCAACCGTACGATCATAGAATTGCTTCATGTTTTTCTGATGTTTTCCCAGATTTAATTTAGCTAGTTCTCTAACCTGGATGAGTCGATTTTTAAACCCCAAAACATATGACGCCAAGTTTTTAGGAGGCTCTACAGCTTTACCAACCTGCTGAAATACAGACAACAGTCCACGAACATTATGGCCAAAGACCAAGTCATTAGGGCTGAAACCCGTACTCTCCTGGACTACTTCACGTGCAGCTAACATCATCCATGGTAAACCCTCTTCCCAATCTCTATCCAGCTGCACACAGTACGCACGGAGAAGTGACTTTAACGACTGGTGGAATCTCTCCAATGCACCCTGACTTTGTGCATGATACGCAGTAGATTGATTATGCTTAATGTGCAGCTGTTTTAACACCTGCTGGAAGAGATGCGAAGTGAGATTCGAACCTTGATCACTTTGGATGATTTTTGGAATACCAAAAACGGATATAAACTGGGTTAAAGCTTTCACAATAGAACGAGACGTAATGGTACGCAGTGGATATGCCGCAGGAAAACGTGTGTTCAAACACATCACAGTGAATAAATAACTGCTACCAGACTTCGAACGGGGAAGTGGCCCTACGCAATCGACAATAAGATGCTCGAAAGGTTCACCAGTAGCCTGAATTGGTTTCAACGGAGCAGGTTTCAACACCTGGTTCGGTTTACTCGTTAATTGGCAGGTTTTACATCTCTTAATATAAGCAGAGATGTCTCGTTTTAATCGCGGCCAAAAAAAATATCGCAACAGGCGATCATAAGTCTTACGCACCCCCTGATGACCTAATTGATCATGCGCAATTTCTATCATCATTTGTCGAAATTTAGTAGGAACAACTACTTGGAAAACAGGATCCCCAACAAAATCTTTGTGAGGACTCCATTTTCTCAACAACACTCCATTGTGAACGAAATATCCACGGGAAACGTCACACTCCTCTACCGGAAGAACAGCACTCTGGAAGAGTTCATCCAAAGAGGAGTCAGTCCGCTGTTCTATTCCTAAATCCTCTGCAGAAACAGGAAAAGACAAGGCAGACAAATCAGGCATAAACAACTTAGTGCAGATTTGATCAGATTTTATCTCTTTTCGATCACACACTTCATCCTCATTGGCACGTTTCATTGCACGAGTCACAACACACGTTGAATCCTGGCACAAAGAACTCAGTTCAGTTTCAATTTTATTATCAGTGGTCACTATGGGAAACACTGACGTATCAGCCCACACACGTTCACCTACCAGTCCATTTCCCAAAATAATATGGACCCCCTCAACTGGCAAAGCTGGTCGTACTCCCACTACAACCTCACCTTGAATCAAATCGGACTGAAGCCTTACCCTATGAAGATGCACAGACAGAGTATTCAGTCCTATTCCACGAATTAACACACTCTCACCAGTATGAGACTGCGAGGAAAAAGGCAATTCTGATTCCAAAATAAATGAATCCATTGCGCCAGTATCCCGCAAGATTTTAACAGGGATTTCCTCTTTCTCTCCAACCAGGGATACACGCCCCTCTGTAATAAAAGGCGAGTAAGAAGAGAAATCAACATCAAGTGTTTTACTTTCAACAACTTCACTCCCTGAAGACAGAACTGGTGCCGCAAGAGCAGAAGGCTAAGCATGTGAATTTTGTGCATTATGTTTGAATTTATTTTTAAGGACAGGACAATCTGCTTTCCAATGTCCTTTCTCATGACAGTAATTGCAAATCTTGCTTGGGTCAAAATTTCCCGTGAAAACACGGTTACTCTTAGACGGAGACTTTACATACTGAACATCACGAGCATGCCAATCCACAAAAGTGGTTTTGTGCGTCAGTACAAAATCATCGGCCAACATTGCCGCTTCCTCTGGCGTTTTAACATTATGCTCACTAATATACATAGCTATACGGCTCGGGACGGAATTTTTAAATTGTTCCAACACCATCAAGTGAATTAAATCCTCCAATGTTTTAATGTCTAATGCTGAACACCAATGATTAAAGTGTTTTCTCAGATCACACACAAATTCTAAGTTTGTTTGCAACTGGTCTTTTTTCTGCAATCGAAAACGCTGTCTGTATGCTTCGGGTACACATTCATATGCTTTTAAGATTAGAGATTTAACTTTATCATAATCTTTACAATCATCAACCGACAATGAAGAAAATGCTACTTGTGCTTTCCCAGTTAACACACACTGTAACAGCGCAACACAATCATCATCTGACCAGTTCCTTAATTTTGCCATGCGTTCAAATAGAGTAAAGAAAGTATCAGGATCTTCTTCATTGAATTTAGGAATAAGTTTTAGGTTTGAATTGATTGAAAACAACACACTCTGTTCCTGACCAGAACTAGAAAGCTTACCTTCTTTCATCAGGTTGAGCTTGAGAAACTCCAAATCCAATTTTGCCTTTTCTAAATCCATTTTACCTTGTTCCGCACGCAGTTTTAACTTCTCATGGTCCATCTTTAATTGTAGCAGCTCTTTTTGCTGTTCAAAAGACAAATTACTTTTTAATTCAGATGCCACTGGTACATATTCCTCCATCTCTGGGTCTAAGAAACCTTTTTCAAGCAACTCAATTTTCAAAGCTACTTTAACATTATCTTTGAGCCTTTTATCTTTAATCACAATTTCATAACGTTCAGCAATACTTAATAATTGCTCTTTAGTACACCTGTCCAAAAATTCATGAGAAGGTGAACTAACAAACTCATCAATATCAGCCATGCTAAAATGACCAGAATAATTTATTCAGCACAGTGCAATCAAATAACGAGAGTTTTCCCTCTACCTTTCCAGTACCTCTACCTAACTCAACCCTAGTCTTCATGCGATTACTGGTGGGGGGTATTTATGCACTATAGCCCGCTGGGTGAAAAACGCAACTGGTCAAACCAGCGACGCCTTCAACACCACGGATGTGCTCCCGAGATAATTACTACTACCCACTTTCACCACAACACTACACAAAAATAACAAATCCGACACGTCTCAAAAGAAACATGCCGCTATGCCTATCAGAGAAAACTCACGTTCAAAAAACAATATTGCACATGTACTTACCAACTGGTGATTTCACACGGTGAACAAATTGACTTTGGCACAAAAACATTTTTGTGTGTCCAACAAATAATCAATTATCAAACTAAACGTCCAATTTTTTTTTTTTTTTTACGCAATCAAATAACCAAAGCAAGGACGAGCCCCCAATTTGTTACGACCCTTGGCTCAAGGGAAGCAACAAAAACAAGGGACACACGTAAACCAAATTGTAAGCTCAAAAGTAATGTTTATTTAACTTCAAAAGTAAGACAAAACTAAATAATAAAATGAAAACATTTAAAGAAAATAGAAGTGTTTCTGTATTCATCAGCAAGATCAGTGTGTAAAGCAAGATGCATGGTCGAAAGTGTAATGCAATGTTGAAGTTGAAATGTAAATGCAAAAAGTAACAAAATACAACGCAAGCAAAAGGCAAAGTCCAAAAGCAAAGTCCAAAACCAAAGTTCCCTCTCCCTTGGCTCAGTTGGTGATCTCTTAAGAAGCGTCTAAGGCACGGTCACAGGTGTTTCCAGTTGACTGCCAATTGAGGCAATTAGTGGGCTCCGGTACCAAACTGCAATTCTCAAAAGCAGCAGCAGAGGTCGTCACAGCAATACACATGATGCTTTAATTCTAAAAGATTTTATATCTCAAAATAAAGTAAACTTTTACTTGGATATTCAGAAAAAAAAAAACTCAATTTCAAACAGAATTAAAACCCTGAATAAACATTTCTAAACATACCTATATTTTGTATAAATCTTGCTTATATTATAAATCACTGAATTATAAGCACAACATGAGCAAAAGAGATTCAGTATCATTGACTGAACTACAGAAAGTAGCAACATTTACATTCTGATGTCAAATCTCTTTTTACATGTATGATTTCTACAATAAAAGATGAACTAAATATGAACTCGGTGTAGAAATAAATGAAGGGAAAACAAAAAATCTAATAAACTGAATAAAGTCATAGTTGGACACATGGAAATATGTTTAGAATTGTATTTCTTTTTTCTTCTTCTTTTTTTAAAGGAACAATGCTATTCTTGTAATAACAAAATATCAGTAACAATTTAATTATAGCCTTTATACATATTGCATTATAAAGGTATTTTTAAAGCATTAATTATATATTGTTATACACATTATAATGCATGTATGATCAAACACTGTTAAGTTGTTTTGATTGATACTGTGAAGCAGCTTTGATACAATCTGTATTGTGAAAAGCGCTATATAAATATATTTGACTTGACTTGACTTGATCTCATCAAAAACTGTAACCACAGTTATAACACATTATAATATTATCCGATTAAAAGATATAAAGCATTATAATCTACATCACTGATACCTTTATAATGCATTATACATGAAGGCTTCAAGTAAAGTTTTACCACAATATCTAATGATCATTATTATTAAAACATTTTATTTTTGTTTCAACTTTAAAACACTTTCTGAAATCTAAATTGTATGTTTTATTAGGTGATTAAATCGACAGACTTACCGATCACCAGTTTAGTTCCTCCACCGAATGTGTACCACAGTGATACAATCTAATGAAACGCTCGTACAAAAACCTCTATTCCACTCGAGTGAACACACACTCCAGCAGAGAGAGAAACAACACTTCAACACACTGATATTAGAAGATCCTCAGCTCTTCTCAACACTCACTCATTCAGATTTGACTAAATGCTTTCTGATATAACACTGTTTAAAGAAATATATGTGATGAGCTGTGACCTCTGAGGTGACCTTTGACCTCTTTGATCAGACATTGCGTCTGAAGCATCTATGTCAACTAGTCCAATGGAAAGAATGAACGTCACGGTCGGGTGAAGAGATAAAAGCTCATCCGTTTCATCCTTGCAGCAAATGGATCTCTCATCGGGGTTGGAGACGGGTCCGAGGGATCGGGTACGGCTCTCTCTGGTGCCGTAAGCCCGTGCTGCGGCTTCTTCCGTCCGGGAAGAGAGCCCAATGCTTCAGTACTCTAGCTCCGAGGAGGTAGATGTACTGAGCATTGAAAGTGACACAATCAGGGGGGAAGAGGATTCGCCATATCTTTCCCCAGCGTATTAGGAGCTGGTGGAGGTGATTTCTCGTGCTGTAAATAAATTACATATTGAATGAACCGCAGATAAAGCTTCCTTACATCTAATGTTTCACCTCCATCACTGGGCCTTCCATTTTTCCCGGTCTGCACAGTAAGCCATACTCGTCCCGTCTTTTCAGCCCCCAAGTTCACGTTTATTCAGATATTAGGGGGTTGAAAGAGTATGGCTATGGGGCGATGCCCCGGGCAGAACAGACACTTGTGAGCTATCTGTCTCCCGGTTCAGCATCGTCCCTGAAGGCCTCGGCTTTATAAAGCATATACGGCAGCAGGTCAAGCCGGAGCCTGCCTTCACACCATGGAAGTGCTCCAAGCATATCAGGCTGACCTGTTAGGGGATTTGGACAGAAGTGAGGGAGTGGGGCCCGATGAGGTTCGAGAAACTTCTCGCTCCACAGATTTATCTCTCAGGGCTACTAAGGAGACTGCCAGAGCAATTGGGCGGTCTATGGCAGCCCTTGTATCCACTGAGAGACACCTCTGGCCCAATTTAGCCGAAATCAAGGAGAAAGATAGAGCTTTTCTTTTAGATGCTCCTCTTAGTCCTTCTGGCCTCTTCGGCGATGCTGTTAATTCAGTCATTGAGAGGTTCCAGGAGGCTAAGAAGCAGTCAGAGGCTGGGGCTGCTGGGCGTGAGCAGCTCCAGCCGTCTAGCTGCTCATACCGAGCACAACAAAAAGAGAGTGTTGCATCTCGTGCCCCTCCACAAAAATACTGGAAACAGACCCAACACTCTCAGCCAAAGTCTTCAAAGCAGAATCTGAGGACCGTTCTCCAGGCTAAGAAGGATTCGGCTCAAATGAGGTCCTGACACCACCAGCGTCAGACCAGTGAGGGCATCCCCAACCGGTATACGGTGCCCGTTCCATCTTAGTGCCCTCAGGGGACCGTTCTGCCAACCCCGGCACCCTTGGTGCTTCAGGGCGCAGCGGCCTCCAGAGACTTTCTGGCACAGTGTCAACTCGACATTGCGTCAGACTCGCACCCTCTGAGGGGGGTTCAAAAACAGTCAGTTCGGGTGTGTCCTGCCAGTATGCTTCAGGTCCCCGAACTGGTTGTTTCAATTACACCAGAGGCCAGCCTCGAGAGGCTGGTTCCCTTAGTAGATTTTATGACAGAGTGGAAGCATCTGCAGAATTCAAATTTGGATTATCATTCAGAATTTGGTTCTCGTCCTCCACGGGGTGTTGCTCACGTTAGTGCATCCCGAGCAGGCTCTGTTAGCAAGAGGTGAAAGCTCTGTTAGCAAAGGAGGCTATAGAGCAGGTGTACTCACCCGACAGAGAATCAAGTTTTTACAGCCGTTATTTCATTGTTCCAAAAAAGGATGGAGGATTGCGTCCCATATTAGATCTTCGTCTTTTGAATCGTTCAGTTCAGACACTCAAGTTCAAGATGCTGACATTCAAACAGATCGTGACTCAAATCAGATCCGAGGACTGGTTTTTCAAGATAGATCTGAAAGACGCATACTTCCATGTCTCCATCCTCCCTCAGCACAGGAGGTTCCTGAGGTTTTCTTTCGGGGGCAAAGAATACCAGTATCGGGTGCTTCTATTCGGTCTAGCTTTATCACCCCGCACATTCACGTGTGTAAATGCAGCTCTGGCCCCGCTTAGGCTGCAGGGCATACACATTCTGAATTACATAGACGACTGGCTGATCCTTGCGGAATCAGAGCAGTTGGTGGTTCGGCATCGAGATGTCGTCCTCGCCAAATGCAGAGATTGGGGTTGAGGCTCAATGCCAAGAAGAGTGTGCTTTCTCCAATACAGAGGACCACTTTTCTTGGTGTGGTCTGGGATTCGGTCACGATGCGAGCTGTCCTATCGCCCGCTCGTGTAGCTGCTATCCTCACAGCCACGAAAGAGCTAAAGCTAGGCCAGTCACGCACTGTGAAACAGTTCGAGAGACTGTTAGGCCTCATGGCAGAAGCGTCCAATGTGATACAGTTTGGCCTGCTGTACATGAGACCTTTGCAGTGGTGGCTCAGGACCAGGGAGTTCTCCCCGAGGGGAAAACCACTCTGTATGATCAAGATCCCGCGATGGTGTCTCCGCACCTTGGTTATATGGAGGAAACATTGGTTCCTGTCCCAGGGTCCGGTGTTGGGAGCTCTTTGCCATCGAGTTGCTATCTCGACAGGTGCTTCCCTCACTGGCTGGGAAGCGGTAATGGCAGGCCGCTCAGCTCAAGGTCTGTGGAGGAGTCATCATCTCTCTTGGCACATAAATTGCTCTAGATCAGCGGT